TCAATGAAATAAATAAATAAATACATAAATAATAAATAAATAAATAAATAAATAATGCTAATGATTATCATAATACAAATATTGATAATGAGAAGAAGAAGAAGAAGAAGAAGAAGAAGAAGAAGAAGAAGAAGAAGGAGAAGGAGGAGGAGGAGGAGGAGGAGGAGGAGGAGGAGGAGGAGGAGGAGGAGGAGGAGGAGGAGGAGGAGGAGGAGGTTTTTTGTCAGCGTAACCATTTTAAAAAAGCGTTCTTCCGAAATTCATTCAAAAACTTGCTAGTTTCACTTTGATTTTTTAAACTCAAGTAGGATAACTCTGTTCGCAAAAGGTGCGCTTTTGCGAAGAGGGCGCCACCGAATTTTGAGGACACTTTTTTAATTGGCTCAAAGCACAGAATTCTACACTTATAGAAGCGGAACTCCCTCTTCGCGATCGCCAATTCGCTGTGAGGAATTGAAACTAAAACATGGCGGCCAGTTGAGGGCACCTTTGGCTGCGCCACACAGCGAGGCTTCGTGTTGCTATGCACGCTGATGCTAGTGGTAGGGCTTGGAAGACACCTTACATCAGTATTTTAAAACTTTCTTCGAAGAGGAAATATAGTGAAATAGTCTAGTACATTTTTATTGCCAACAATATGTCATGATTGGCAATGTTACAATGTTTTTGTATTTGTATTGTTGGGTTTGTTTTGTTTTTTTAATGATGGGATGGAATCTAGATCTAGAATCTAGATAGATCTAGATCTCTAGACCTACTAAAGATCTTCACAGTCACAATACACTTGATAATAACACTAATTATGAACATTAATTCTGTTGGCAAAATATCTAGATATAGTCTTGATTAGTACTAGATCTACGATAAGGGGACGCTGACAGTAACATGCTCACTACAATAATATTGTCATTAAACTTAAGGCCATCCAAAGCAAGCAAAAAAGAACAACATAAGCCTTTTCTCCAATTTACTAGAAAGAGATAAATAAATTGAGCTTATATTGAGGAAATGTATTATTTCTCACTTTAAGAATATCATTTCTGTGTTTGCATCAGTAGTGTGTACAACAACATGCTTTGTTTAAAGCACATGCGAGTCTAACAAATACAAGTGGTCTCTTGTTACGGATCAAATTGAAGTCCTCTTTCAATTCGATTAATTGATAAAAGTGCGTATCGCAATGCGTTGGCCACCCCTGCCCTATAGGCCTATGCTGTTTAATAAATACATTCGTCAGACCTGGAATCTTTAATCCCCGCACATAGTAAACAAACACACATTTTTGAACACGTTTAAGAAAAAATATGTGTTGTCTTATTACGGATCAAATCGAAGTCCTGTTACAATTCAGTTAATTGATAAAAGCGTGTATCGCAAGGCATCGGCTAACCCAGCACTATTACGCTATTTTATAAATACATTCGTCAGATCTGGAATTTTTAATCTTTAATTTTTAATCCCCGCACACAGTAAACAAACACACATTTTTGAACACGTATAAGAAAAAATAAGTGTTGTCTTGTTACGGATCAAATCGAAGTCCTGTTACAATTCAATTAATTGATAAAAGCGTGTATCGTAAGGCATCGGCTAACCCAGCACTATTACGCTATTTTATAAATATATTCGTCATCTCTACTACTGTAGCGTGCGGTCAAAAATTTGATGCGCAACTTATTATCAAATATCTAGCTACTGAACTATCGAACACCTAGATCTAGATCTAGATTCTCCTACTTTTACACAATGACTTAGATCTATATCAATTCGTCTTAACCGATGAGTATTTTTTTCAAACATTTGTACACATCTATAGGTTCTATATTATCCTAGAAATTTCTTTTAAGAAAATTCTTTAATAAATACTAGCCCAATATTTAAAAACAAAATCCCAGTCAATGGTTTCTACAGATTTTTAAAAAGTTTATAGCTGGAGCTAAATCTCTTTTAAAAGCAAGTCCGTCCTTTTTTTCTACTTCTGCTGGCGACATAAAGCTAATTATTGAACGCATGTTTTGAGAACATTAATTAGATCTAGTGAAAAAAAATATGTTCAGTGTAAAACAAATTTCTTGTAACAAGTTTTGCTACTAATAAATTACGTAGGCCATATACGTATGCAAAATGTGTGTGGGAAGCTAGAAGTGTTGTGAACAATCCCATCCGTGCTACGAATTTTTTCACAGTTCTGTACTGTAGATCTTATTATTTATAAACTCTTTATGTCTGCTTTTTCTGTTGTTGCACCCAAAAACACAACAATCTAAAACCTTGATTCCAATCTCTAGTTGCACAGTGAATTCTGTAACTCAAAATTACAAACTGGACAGTAAATGTTCCACTTTTCACTCGTTTGTAAAAGCCGCTCTTGCTTTAAAAGCTATAGGGTTACTTCCGAAAACGATAAATCGTGCCCTCAAGACGCCATTGTTTTCGGTCTTCAATTCCTCACAGGTCACGTGGTACAGTTCCCGTTCTTTTAGTGTAGAATAAGTGTAGAATTCTGTTGCTCAAAGAGAGAAGTGGCCCCTCTTGTTATGTAGACTCTTTGGTATTGCTAGGTATCGACATCGATACCTAAATTGTAGTATCGGCCCATAGACTCCAAACGTCACATTTTGAACTTTGCCTTGTAGCCTAGATCATCTAAGCCAGGAATCAACAAGGAAGCCTTCAACTTCAATGAAAAGAATAACTTTTGCCTATTCGTATTGCGGTTGCGCCATAACCGAACTGGAAGGACAAACTGGTTTAGTTATTCTCATCCTGGGTGGGTTAATATGGGAATAAGAACAGGGATCGTTCATTGGATAACCTCCGGAAGTAGGACAAACCTAGGCCTAGCCCCTATCATGTAAACATCAGGTCATTCGTTGGCAACAAAATGTGTGTATCCGAATTAAAACACATGTGATTTTTCTTCATACATCATGGTTATCAGTGACTGAAATTTAATCATAACCACAGCTTTTTTTTTTTTAGTTTGCTGTTTTGCAGCCTTCTCTTGTCCTTGAAATGGCTCCGGAATATCGGTGGACAATCACAGTCGTTCTGTTCCTTGCTTCACTCGTCGGAGGATTCCATCAACAGGTGGGGATCGCTGGCGGCGACGCTGCTAACCAACACTCACCAAAGTCTTCTAATCTAATCTAGAATCTAGATCTAGATCTAGATTTCTAGATTATAGATCTAGGTCTAAATCTAGATCTAGAGAGTCTAGATCTAATTCAGTTCTTCTAAATTATTACTTCATGATGTAAAGATCGTAGAGATCTAGATTTCTAGTAGTATAGTATAGATCTAATATATCTAGAGTCTAGATTCTAGATCTAGAAGATCTAGATCTACATCTAGATCTAGATCTAGATCTACATCTAGATATCTAGATTTTAGATCTAAGCCAAACATTCGACTTTTTATTCGTGAGTATAAAACCCATGTTCTCGTTATTCTCACTCGGGTGATCATATACTTCAGCATGTTAAATTCTTCAATTGATTTTACGAAGTGGCTAGCCGTACGACTGAGAGTCTAGCCGTACTTAAAAGTACGGCTAGACTGGCAGTCTAGCCTACTTATTCTTAATACCTATTAACATTAGAAACGTACTTAAAAGTACGGCTAGACTGGCAGTCTAGCCGTAGGCCTACTACTTAGATCTCTAGGTTTGGCCCTATCGACTCAAGCCTTAAAAGTACACAGTGTAACACAGGTCTCATTAGTCTTCATTAGATCTAGATCTAGATCTAGTAATTATTCAGGTTCAAATACATGCAAGTCAGTAAGGCACCTTTTGGTTTTGTCTGAAATACAAAATAGGCCTACTTTAGGCATTGCAAACAAAAAAATTCATTTACAATCCAGCCATCAATATTAAGTACAGAAAGAAGGCCAAAAATAAGGTCTGATATCACAGTGTCAAGCAGGGTTCAGGTCAAAAGGCAGGACAGAAGACCAGCTCTTCAGGCTTACACAGAAAATCATTGATGGATTTCAAAGAGGGGAACAGACAATGGCTGTGTTTGTGGATCTCCAACAAGCCTACGATAGAGTGTGGAGGAAAGGACTAAGTTACTCTTAAAACTGCAGAACATGGGAATCAAGGGAAACATATGTACTCCTGGATTAAATTATTCCTTACAGATAGACTCATCCAGACCCAGATGGATGAAACCCTATCTTCAAAAGCAGTACTGGAGGAAAGACTCCCACAGGGATCTTCTATCAGCTGTACCTTATTCCTTGTCTTCCTTAATGACGTTTCAGATGTTCTCAGAACAGAAAAAGCCCTTTTTGCTGATGACCTGGTCCTTTGGCACACTGGAAACTCGACAACAATAAGCAGACGAAGACTACAAGATGATCTAAATTCCTTAGGAATCTATTGCCGTTTATGGAAGATGAAAGTAAATGCGAAAAAACTGTCTACTCTGTTTTTACGAGAAGCTATAACCTTGCAAATGCAGAAATCCCTCTCACAATAGATGGTACCAAATTGAAAAAGGAGAATCACCCAATGTATCTTGGAGTATAACTTGACAGCAAGCTCAACCTGAAACGACACACCAACAACCTCAGGAAGAAGGCTATGAAGAGACTTAATCTCATCAAACGACTAGCCAGTACCAACTGGGGATCAGACAAGAACACCTTGAGAGGCCTCTATTTAGGATATACCAGAGCTGTTTTTGATTATAATCTTGTTCTACAAAACATTTGCAATAAAGCTACAAAGAACTCAATGGACACCATCCATAACCAAGCTCTTCGTCTTATCTCTGGCGGAATGAGAACCTCACCGACTGCGGCCTGTGAAATCCACACAAATATTGAGCCATTAGAAACTCTAAGAAAACGGGCAGCTTTAGAAGTATATATGAAAGATCTAAAAGGCTAGAAAATATACCACCACTAATAGAATCCTTGTTGACAAGTGGAAACCTAATCAAAGACTAAAAATACAAAATCTGTACTTGACACTGTTCTCAATCTCCAAGAAAAGCATCACCTCCCTGAAAGACGAGAACCTCTGGAAAGAGTTCCCTCAACTCTCCCACCACATCTCACCATAAGCAAAGCCTGAAATTAGGAAAATACTTTTGGACAAGAGCAATAAAAACACATATCCTGTAGCACTAAAACATTCTGCCCTTGAAACAATAATTATTGATTCCTATCCTCCAACATGGATCCACTCATACAGTGATGGATCTGCCTTTAAGGCAACAATCAACGCTGGATATGGGTCAGTGATCAACTTGCCCAGTGGGATAAAAAAAGAAGTCTTTAATTCCAGCGGGTCCTTCTGCTCCAATTTCATTGCCGAACAACAGGCTATCACCTACACAGCAAACTACATCAACTACTTGTTTGACACTAACCCACTTACTACCTCAGACATCGTTATCTTTACAGACAGCCTTTCAACACTAGAGACACTTGAGAGTGGGACTGATGTGAACAAAGATATAATAATAATATATTGCACTTGATTTGGAGTCTACATAATTTGATACGTAGGCACCACGTCAGAGTAGTCCTACAATGGATTCCTGCCCCCACTGGGATACCGGGAAATGAAAGAGCTGATGCTCTGGCAAAGAAAGGGGCTAGCCTCCCTCAGCCTGAAATTCCTACGAATTACACCACCTGCTGACAAATGATCAAGTCAAACGTCAAGGAAGAGTGGATGAATGATTGGGCCACAGGTACGACAGGAAGGAGGATGTATGGCCACATGAATAAACCACTGGTCAAAGATCCAATTAATGAGTTGAGGAGGGGAGATCAATCCATAATCTTCCAACTTAAAACACAACATGTACCCCTCAACCAACATCTCAACCGATTTAATAGCAGTCTCGCCGTACTTAAGACTCTCAGGCTAGCCGTACTTAAGTACGGCTAGCCACTTCGCTAAACTGGCCCTCCCGGCATCATTAGTGTGAACAGAATGACTAAATTGAGCTGATCTTGCCGCGGGCAAAGTTAAAATTATTATGTCGACCAATGAGACTGCGCATAGCAATCTCGCACTTTCGGCTTGTTGGGGGAAGAGGTGTCGGGAAGAGGCCACGGCTGTCGGTTTTGTGCGGTGTGATAAAAAAACATATAACGAAGTGACCATTTCTCTGAACGTTGGGGAAAATAAAGTTGAACTCTATTTCGCCGAACGGTTTCCGATCTCGAGATTTTTTTTTTATTTGCAAGATTTAGGCGTCATCCTTTCATTCTGCCATTCTGCGAGGACTGGGAAGAAGCATTTTTTGCATCAAATTCAATTTCTAGAGCTAGAGATTTTTTAATGTCTGAATATTCAGATACTTCAATTGTGGTTGGGGCAACGTTCCCGGACAAGATCTATACTTCTTTTGAAAATACCTTCAAAAGGTACTGCGAGAAAACAAGACTGCTTGACCATGGCAGTAACCTATTTGCATTTAGTCACCCAGCAAAAACTAAAATCCTTCATGTAAACAAAAATTCCTCCCGTTCGCACCTTACACACACACACACACACACACACTCACAGACACACACACACTCAGGCCACTCCATTCGCGTATTATATTATCAACAAATCTTGAGAATGGAAACCGATCAGAGAAATAGAATTCAAGTTTATTTTCACGAACGTTCAGAGAAATAGAGAATAGAGCTGGCCAAAAAATAATTACTGAAAAACTATAACACACAACAAAATAAAAACATGTAGAAAAACAAATGGTAGTGGAAGTAATGATGATGCTATAGTGGTGGTGGAAAGACCCTGTGTTGTTGGTTACCGTGTACTTAGACACTGCCATTGGGTAGACCTAATGAGAGTGCAAGTCTTTTGACCCTTGACACAATTACACAGTCCTAGTAGGCAATTCTAGTTCTAATTCTGATTTTACATAAAATCCCCCCAACGACATTTATACAATGTAACCTCCTTATAATACTCACATTGCTCACGTAGAATAAAATTTAACCTTTTTTTCGGACACGAGTCCGAATAGATAAAACCCATATTCGGACTCGAGTCCGAATAGAGCTGGCCTTCTCCTAACAGTTTCCGTTCTCGAGATTTGTTGATAATAATTGCGAATGGAGTGGCCCGTATGTGTGTGAGTGTGCATGTGTGTGTGTGTGTCTGTGTGTGTAAGGTGTGAACGGGGCATGGGGGCGTGAAGGGATTTTTTTGGTGTGATAATAGGCCATGACCAGTCACCGATTTTATCTGTCGATGGGGGTGTAAAAACACCTACTTTTTTCATGACCAACTGAAGTTTGCACGATTGATGTGCGTACATTATCTTTGCACCATTAGTAGGCCTTCACACAACGTATGAAGGAACCTTAACGTCATGTGTGATACCATTCCTGTGTCTCTTTTGCCTGTTTTGCTATCTTGAAGCACAGATGACTGAATTAAATGATGATTAGCGTTACTTGAGGGGGGCGTTCGTGAAGTTTTTGACTACATAAAACCTGTAAAAAAAATTTGGTTTGGAAATTGGAGCATAAAATTTCATATTTATAAATTTATACTTTTCTAATATAAATCACTTTTTTTTTCAGTTTACCACTTTTTTTTTCAGATTAACCATGTTTGGTTTGGACTCCACTGTAGTTATTTTGGTTCCAGTTTTTCTTACTACTAGTGTTAGGTTGTCAAGTATACTTTTTGTCTTACAAATGTGGCCATACAATTGAACTCTTATAATGGTATGCATAGAGAATAAAATTAAAGTCTTTGAAAAGATTTAGCCAGGTTAAAAATGTAATACAAATGCCTCATAACTATTGCTTTTGAAGGGTGTGACTGAGGGGGATTTCAAATGAACAGCGCTGTCCTCTCTTCTCCCTTCTACTTCTCCTCTCGGGGCCCCTCAAAAAAGAGGGGAAAAAACCCTCCTTTTAGGTTCAGCTAGTGGTGGTACGGAAGAGTGTCAGATGCAGGGCTCCTGATTAGGATCTGATCTACACTACAGTCAAATCTGCTCCAGGGGCCTGCCTAGACAATCATCTATACTATATACAATTACAAGCTTCCACTTTACACTTTCTCCTTTTAATTTTTTTGTGTCCATAACTGACACTGTCCAAGGCAACCACTATTCTCCTCGGCTAATGGGTGGCTATCTTGGACAATTTGGGTACCATATTTCTATGGTTTCATGGTCATATAACAGAATTGTTCTTTTTTATGTTTTCCTTACGACTCAGTAATTCAGACATTTTTTGCTCTAAATACACTTGTTTAGTTTGTGTAAAACAAGCTGATCATTTTGCAAACTATTTTACCAGGATTCTCTACGAGCAAATGTAGGAAAATCAAATTCTGCTAGCCTGGACAGGTCGACTTCAGTTTCCAAAGATGTTAAGGATGCTGGAAGGGTCAATCTGCACGCAGATGAAAGGAAGTTTGATCACTGTTATGCTAAGGTTCAAAATAATGAAGAAGTCTGCTCCCCTATGTCACTCTCGTCAAATTCTGAGAGGCTGAAGGAGAAGTCTCAAAAAGAAGGCGCGAAGACTGAAGAAGTGCCACAAGCTCAAAGCGGTCAGGAAAAACCTGGAAATTTCAGAGATTGTGATGATGATGTCTCTGGAAACTTGTTCCAACGCAGTGTGGAAGGTTTAGTGGACCAAGTACAAAGGTCTAAGATGAAGGTCATTGAGAGTCTTGAGGATGTCATGGATCAGGTAAAAAGTTTTATGACATCTTTTTTCCAGTAAATTTCTTTTCTTTTCTTATCTTAGTTTTCATTAAAAACTCACTTTGTTTTTATTTAAATTATGTCTTTTTATTACCTAAGGCAATGAGTGTTGACTACTGCTGTAACTAAAATTCTGCCTATAACTACTGTATGATTTTAACTTGAGCTAAAATGCATATATACATTTGTATTAAAAAAAAAAAAATATATATATATATATATATATATAGATCTATATCACAATCTTTATGATTGTAAAGTCGTTGTGTCCAAACATTTAACACTCTTTTTGTGTATAATGCACAATAGTTGAACATTCTATCTTGATATTGTTTTTAGTACTTAAAAATGTTGTACTGTGACATATGAAATTTAGTTAAGAACAAATTAAGCTTTGTTTTGTTTAAACATATATCCTCTTTCTTTAAAACTTCTCTCTCTCTCACTCTCTCTCTCTCTCTCTCTCTCTCTCTCTCTCTCTCTCTCTCTCTCTCTCACCTTGTGCTTCTACTGCTTGTACCTCCCCTCTTTTGTACCTTTTTTTACCATATTCTTTTTCTTGTCCATTTTGTAGTTGTTCTTTCTTCAGGTAGAAGCAGAACAGAACTTGTGTAGCAACCCTAAAATTTACATAATGGAAAGATAATGTCATTAAAACCTATTAGATTTTTTTTCTTCCTTTGTCAAGTATGATCTATATCATTTTTATGACTGTTTGATTAATTCTAGGCTAATGTGAGTGCCTTTTTATTTCCTTGTGCAAGGCGTTATAAAAGCTGATATACAAGCAAAAGCAACAGCTTAATAGCAACTTGGAAAGGATCGTTAGTTTTTACATCGTTACCAAGCTTCTTGTTGATACAGGGTGGCCTACATGTATAATTCAACCACTTTCAAAACCCAGTTGGTGGTGAAAAGGAGGGAATTTGAGCTGAAATATCTATATTCATGGGTTAATCCCAGTGATTAACATGTGAAAGTTAAGTTTTAGTTAGTATTTTATGGCACTTGCATGCAATACAAATAGTTAAATTGAGGTCATATTTAAGGCCAAAGATTAAAGGTGTTACTTGAGAGTAATATACAACTATAAAAAAAACAAAGAGGAAAGACAAGGACAATAGTTGTTTAATAAGAAAGATGGAGTAAAACACAACAGAGCACCTGCCAACCAACCCACTGATGTGAGTGAAGAATAATGATCTTACAAACGAGTTTGTGGTAAACTTTTCTTTGTGGTCTCTCTGCAGTCTGATAACCAAGATGAGGATATAGTGGTCTTTTTTTTTTACTTGAATATCAGTGCTTCAAACACAAAATTCTGATTTTTTAAATATTTGATTATGGTATAAACTTTTAAGTTTTGTTGCTATTCATTTTAACTTTTTAAAAAGATGATCAATTGATGTGATATCCCTGCATGTCATTTGTTCCCCACACTTGTCCAGGTCGCTCAATCCAGAGACAGAGTGATGGATAGTCTCGACAAGGTCATGGATAGAGTGTCTGAATCCATGTCTGAGTCAAGGGTCAAGGTTATAGAGAGCTTTGACTCCGTCATGGATAAAGTGAGTTGAACCCTGAGATGGGGTGGATTTGGGAGTTATTAAAGTTCCTGGAAGGGAGGAGTGGGTGGTCAGTTTTCTCCTCTAGCTCTACTGGGGAAAATACTAAGTGAGATAGAGTTTTAAGGAAGTGATCATGAGGGCGGGGGGTGTATTTGGGTATTTCATTTGTTGATATCATTCATACTCAAGAAGCACTGGCTGTCGTTATACATTTTAAATGTGCTCTTTAGTTTGTTTGGTCTTTGCCTTAAATAATATTAAGAAACAGAATTAGCAACTATCATGAAACAGACATTTCCCTCATGGTCTTAAAATTTAACAAGTATATCTGATTGATGTATAATATTATATATATATGCTGCTTATTGGTTAGTTATGCTTTTGTGAAAATGAAGAAGAGACAGTGGTTTCAAACCCGAAAGTTTTCCACTGTGAGATTTGTGACTATATATCGTAATTCTAATACACTGTGTACGTAATGTTGATAATTCCTTTAAATGAAGAGTCCTGTTTGTTAGTCTTTTTTGACACCTTTGGGTCATCTTCCCTTTTGAAAATGAAGCGTAATTGTATTGTCTCACTTTGTTGTGTATTGTTTCATAAAAATTGATGTTATGTTGTCTCTATAAGGGTCGCCTGTACAAACGGTCACTTTCCATTTCCCCATTGGTGTTTTTTCTATATATAGAAGCACAGCATCAGACAGGAATCTGTCCAACGTGCTGCTGCCACTATATTTTTTCAACAAACACAAAACAAAAAAAACCTGTCTAAGATGGCCACACAAATCTCTTATCACATAACACTTTGTCATAAATTATATGACACTGGGATTCATTGAACTTGGAGGTTGGGCGCGTAAACTTTGTTAAAATGATGTTGTGGACAAGCTTTAATACTACATTACATTCCCCTGTCATTGTTGTTAGTCCCTCTAATGAATGAACTAATCATTTTGCTTAGGTCCCTCCCACTGTTTACCCAAGTTGACCCAATTGGTTACAAATTTTCAGCAGCTGATGAGAGACGCATGTGATCTTAACCTTTAAAGCCCGCCCACAGCTCATTCGTGAAAACAACCAACTTGAGTCCCATGCACTCATATGACTTTACTACGCAGTTGCAAGCATCGTAAAACTCTTACCAAATCGAAATCAACTTGTACATAAATCATAAGTGAGATGAGTAGTAGCTCTGTTTACCCAGTTTGTAACAATGGATGTGGAGATGACCTTGCAATAGGGAAGTGTTGCTTATTCGTTGAGTAGTAGGGACCTATTTGTTTGCTTTACTTTGGCTCTTAATCTTCTTCGTCTCAAACATTTTGTTTCGTTTTACCCTTGCACAAAAGCAGCAACGCCACACAACAAAATAAAACTGACAACAATAAAAAAAAAAAAAAAAACCCAGAACAAATAAAAACCTTCCTCATTTGTATTTTCCTCTTTTGCAGATTTTCTTCTTACAAGCACTAACTTTTCTATGATTCATCATGCGTTTTAATGAATAATTTTGTCTGACCAAGGATGGAGTGAATGGTGTGATGTCAATACTTTTTTTTTTCTGGTGACTTCTGATATCAGTTAAAACAGCTTTGTTTGTTTTGAGTCATTCTAGTATTGCTAGCAAGTAAGTGATAATGTTTATAGAACAAAGTTAGTAATAACTTATTCTGTGTCAGGTAGTAGTTTAAATAATGACAAATATGAAAATGTCAGTGGGGCTAGTATCTGCTCAGTGATATCATGTCTTGAATCAAAGTAGTCCAACAACAACTATGATTTATATATTGCTAATGGGAACTTTTTGGCATGTACTTTTATTTTGTGAGTATAGATAAGTTGGACAAAATTTGTTCCACAGCTAATGTTGGGTGCCAAGATTGTGTCGAAAAGAGTGTAGAATGGAAACTTATTCTCATAACTTTCATTTGTCAGGTGTCGGAGTCCAAGGAGAAGGTACTGCGAGGTCTGGATGAAGTCATTGACAAGGTGGCTCATTCCAAGATGATGGAAGAGCTGGACCATGTCATTGACCAAGTTGCTCACTCAAAAGTTATGGAGGAGATCAGAGCCCTCCCTGAGGGTAAGTGTAAATGAGTCTCCTTGTTATATGAAACATCAATTCCATTAAAAAAATCATATGACCCAGGTGTGCATTTGAGCAAGTCTGCTTTTTTACATGGGGTGCACTATGGCAGAGTCCTACATTTTGCAACACCACTTCAACTTTCTATCGCACTATGGTAGTTTAGTTTCTATATTAGTATAGGACACATTCAGTTAAGCAGCGAGGGGAGGAGGGGAGGGGATTTGTGAGTACAGCCGCGCACCCAGCTCTCCGACAAATATTTTTGAAAGACAAGTTACAACGGCTGGAGTAAGACTTAATAAGAGCAGCCATGGACATAAAAACATGTAAACTGAGGAGATAATGAACACCAGTCCATGTACAGTCAAACCCGCCATGACGGCCACCTGTACAAATGGCCACTGTCCATTTCCCCCCTTGCGTTTTTTCTATATAATTTCACAGTGTAAAATGGGCACCTGTCCCATGCGGCCACAGCCACCATATTATATTTTATCACACAATCCCTATCACACCAAAGAATAACATTTGTCTTAGACGGCCACCTCTCTCATCACCCGACCTTTTGTCATAAAATATGTATTGGCCCCTGACGTTGTGGACGAGCCGTCATATTCCAACCACCTGTCATTGTTGTTAAATAGTCCTTTCAACAGATTATGTTGAGTAGGCCCCTCCCATTGTTGACCAATAAGTCACAATAGATTTTCATCTGCTGGTAAGCGTGTGATCTCTCATAACCCATAAACCCCACTCACATCTCTTACACAAATCATGAGTGAGATGAGGGGTCACTGTTTACCCAGTCCTATAACAAAGTAACAAAGGACGTCAACATGAACTTGTGACAGAAGTGTCGCTCGTTCTCTAAGTGGTGGCAACCCATGTGTTTGTTTTAACATGCAGTCTGTCTTCTTCGTCTGACACATTTCGTTTTATTGTCACCCTTGCACAAAATGAGCAACAAAGTAAAAAAGCTAACAAAAAATAAACCCACAAAAACAACAACAATGCAGCTGCCTTCGGTTGGTACCTCAGAAGTGAATAGTTTGCTTTCTTCATATTGATCAATCCTCCCTAAAACGGACACCTGTCTTACTCGACCACTTTTCTCCTTGACAATGAGTGGCCGTCTTACTCAGGTTCGACTGTATATACACAGTAGTCTCCACCTAAGATCCCACCGCTTACAATCCCAGTTCGCTTAAGGTCCCGCTGTTTTAAGAAAACAGAATTTTTACTATACAAAAGCCACCCCTAAGATCCCGCTCTGATTCACCCCTATATATATATATGTGTGTGTGTGTGTGTGTACGAGGTAGAATCCGGCGCTCGTCAATTTTTTGGCTTTTGTGGTTATTGGTACCATTTTAAAGACTGTTCTTTTGCCTTCCTTTTGGTGAAAAAATATCTTTCAATGTTGAATAGAAGTTGAAACATTTAAGACTGAAGGAGGTCAGGGTGGCCTGGTTTCAGAGGTAAAATTAGCGAGACAATGGCCACCAAAGTTTGGTAACTTCTATAGTCTGAGAGTCTTTGGAAACTGAAAATTTACATTTTTCCTGTCTTTAGTCAATATTTTTCAGTAAAATCCACACTAAAATTTGTTTTTAAATGGACGTAAAAGGTGTTGAGCCAAAAAATGAAAATTATTTTAAAATTACCCATCGGCAAAAAAAATGCATTTTCTTTGATTTCAATATTTTGACAATCGCCTGATTTCACCACAATGCCTCACACATATATATATATATATACAGTCGAACCTGTGTAAGACGGCCACCCATTGTCAAGGAGAAAAGTGGCCGTATAAGACAGGTAGCCGTCTTAGGCAGGACTGATTAAGATGAAGAAAACAAACTATTCCCATCTGAGGTCCAAATCGAAAGTAGCCGCATTGTTGTTGTTGCTGTTGTTTTTGGTTTGTATTTTGTTTGTTATTTTTATTTTGTTGCTGATTTTGCGCTAGGATGACAATAAAACGAAATGTATCAGACAAGGAAACCGAGTGCCATGTTAAAACAAACATATGGGTCGCCACCACTCGGAGAACAAGTGACGCTTCTGTCTCAAGTCCATGTTGACGTCCTTTGTTACTTTGTTACAAACTGGGTAAACAGTGACCACTCATCTCACTTACGATTTGTGTACGAGTTCTTGGCGAGGCTTATGGGTTATGAGGGATCACACGCTTACCTCACCAGCAGCTGATAATTGGTACATATACCTATAGGTCAACAGTGGGAGGGGCCTACGCAACATAATCGGTTGGAGGGACTACCTAACCACAACGACAGGGGATTAGATTATGAAGGCTTTCCCACAACGCCAGCGGCCAATGCACAATTTATGACAAAACGTAATGGAGTCACTAAGGTGGCCGTCTAAGACAGGGGTTATTGCTTGGTGTGATAGGGGTTGTGTGTTAAAATATGGTGGCCGCGGCCACCTTGGACAGGTGCTCGTTTTACGCAGTTAATTTATATAGAAAAAACGCAAGGGGGGAAATGAAAAGTGGCCGTCTTATAGAGGTGGCCGTCAGAGCAGGTTCGACGGTATATATAATTTATATATATATATATTTGTTTACTGAAGGATATAGCTCTCTACAACTTTTTTCAGTTGTGGCTGTCATCTGTCTCCACCATAGTGATAAAGTAGTTTGTCCATCAAACGCACTTTTTGTAAGAGCCTGCTGTACTCAACCACACATTTTTGTCTTAGTAGGTTCATTTCTACTGCATTATTTGATTTAAATGTATAAAGGAATGGTCTCTTCTTCTGAATGGAAACCTTGTTCTGCAAAACCCATGCCCGCTAATGAGGGACAGAGCAAAACTTTCACAAAGGCTGAATCTTACTCTCCTAAGATGTCACATCATACCAAGGGATAGACTTGACAGCTTAGCTGGCTCTTTAGCTACAGAGATTTACTTGTTTAATCACTCTTCACCATCATCCTGAAATGAAAGTAGCTGATTGCATTTGTGCTCTTAGGTTGACTCTATGTATTCACTTGTTAAGCCTGTGTTTTGGGCACAAAATTAGTAGGTCACCATGAAAGAAGCGCTGGACTGACATAAGCGGTGATAAAACTACATTTTCCCGATTTTGGTTCAGCTCATGTTTGAATGCCTTTCAGATTTGTAGTTGCCACTCTGTACACTGTTACTCTGTCTGTTGTCTTTGTATCTTCCGCTTGTGGGTACTTTGTCGAACACATTGAAGGAATGCAGAGCAGATTGCCGTCTAGTGGTTAGGCTATCAAACTGGTAGTTGTGAGGTTATGGGTTATAAGGGCTCGAGGCTCAGCTCTGTCTGACATTGTGTCCTTAGGAATGGCACTTTACACGTGTTATTGTCACTTCATCCGGGTGTGAATGGCTATCTGACCATAGACAGCAAAAGATCTTGTTAATGTGTTAGTTTTTAGAAAATGGCAACTTGAGCTGTATGCTTCCCAGGAAGTTGAGATAGTTTCAGAATGCTGTAAGGTCTGCTAGAGCCATGATATATTGCAAAGCACATAGAATTTGTTTTTGAATGGGAGTTTTTGCCAAACAAATGCTATTTATTATTGTTATTTTATTAAATGCAAAAAAGAAAAATTCATCTCCACTCAGCTGTTTCATCACCTTACTGCTTTGTATGGCAATTATATTATCTGAGTTTTACCCTGCCTTTCTGAACTCAAGCAACATTCAGCTGAATGCAGGGACTGCTTGCAGTATCTGTAGGGGAGCGGTTGGAACCTTTACCTTTCACTTTAAAGACATGAGTTTGTGTCCTGCTGAGGAAAGTTATTGTACTGAGTGTCTCTTTTTGCTGGATGCTGTAGTCCTTTCTGCACTGGGTTGGGCCTGACAGACAAGGTTGAAGCAGCCTGCCTCCCTTTTGATTTAAATTGTGTGAATGTAACGCTTTTAAACTTTTCCAATCACAAATAACAGCCCATTCTACTTTTTCTTTCCTTCTTCGTCCATCAGAGATTCGACAGTCGTTTGTGCTGAGCGTGCGGAATCGTAGCTATGTGGCTGCTGGCGTCATGGTTGCCATTACCACAGCCATTCTTGTGGCCGGTGCAGTATACTACTCCTGGTGCCACCAAGACGCTTGGGCCTACTACGTCCCACCTCTTAATGAATCTGAAGATCCACTGAAAAGAGAGAGCCCAGAAGTCCCATCCTCTGCCCCATTGATAAATGGAATTCAACAAGGATCGAATGGTACTTTTAGGGAAGGAAGTCTTCAAGGCACAGTGAACGCCCAGCCTGAGGCTAGAAATGGAAAAGTTATAGAGGACGGTGACTCCTGTCGTGGTTCTCCAATTATTGAAAATGGAGATGTCAGTAAGGATGTTCTTGAAAATGGGGATGTTAGTGAGGATGTTCTTGAGAATGGGAATGTGTGTAAGGATGTTCTTGAAAATGGGATTGTCGGTAAAGTTGTTCTTGAAAATAGGAATGCCAGTAAAGTTTTAAAGAATGATAGTGATGTGCCTGTAGAAACATAAAAGCAGAATGCTATTAAAAGAGTGAAGATGATAAAAGAAAAAAAAGGAGTTGCTTCCCAAAGAATCTTTTGATCTGCTCTCAGAAAAGAATAGTTCTTTACATGCAAACTCTGCTTCGCATGACAATTCTAGCGATGTTATATTCTCAGAGGGCATTGCTGTAGCAGTGACAGTGTTGGAGCAAAAATTATCAAAAGTTGTGGTGGGGAAAGAAAAAGTCTTTCAGCTGAGTTGGATGTGAATAGAAGGGAGGATACTGTGACCTGTTGTGCTATGTGGACTTAAAACATATTTGATAGCAGGTTTAAGAAGTGCTGTGGGGAATTGGGTGCTCATCTCAAAGAGCAAACATGTGATAAAGATAAGCCTGCCGAGTACTCCGAAGAAAATCAGAGGGCTCTGGGGGGGTTTTAGTTGTTGTTTTTTTGTCTATGGAAGAACTCGGGTCGGATTTGCATAAAATCCAATTTTTTTAAAAAAATTATCTTCATGACTTATGGTAAGTGACATGAAAATACACATTTTTATGTGCATTTATTTGAGTGTATTTGCAATTCACAATTGTTTTGTCATGATTGCTTCATAACAGAATCTGAATCCACTAGGGTTTCGGAGGATTTTTTTCCCTGAAATTTTGATTTTTTTTTAAAGGGGGGTGGGGGAGAGATTCTGAATCCTCACATCACTGTATTTATACTGCAGTTTATATGATAGTCTCTGAAAAATGAAATCATTGTTTGTGACTTGTTTCACTGTCAGCCAGAAACAGTGATAATTAGGAAAATATTTCTTGAATGAAGCCTTCGTCTCTGCCTTTCTTAATCACAAAACCTTTCCATCTGGTTCTAATCATCGTGTCCATATAGTTGTTTTTATATTCACGAGGTCACTGCATCTTGTAAATTACAAAATAGTTACAATCTTCGTTAAATTTAGAGAATTATTTTTAACAGGATGTCATGGTTAGTAATGGATTATTTCTTTTGAAAGTTGTATAAATAGTTGCTTTAAAAACTTGTTTACAAAACAATTGTCAAATGGTATTTAATAATATAGCACAGCCCAAAGGTTTTTTCTATGCAAGGAAACAAGTAAAGTATTATGTATAGTTTTTACTTAAGTTAACGAGTCTGTGTGATCAAACATGTGAGTTGTTGTATGGCAACACATCAAAATGAGACACAATTCCAGAGTTACAAAATGTGTGGCATAGTGGTGAAATCAGGTGCTCATCAAAATAATGAACTCAAAGAGACCAATAATTTTCCGCCCATTGGGCAATTTTTATCAAATTTGTTTTTTCTCATCACCTTTTAGAAACAGATTTCTTTGAAGATTTTACTGAGAAACGTAGATCAAAGGCATTTTTAAAAAAATGGAAATTTGCAGTTTCCCAGAACTCTCAAGCTTTCGAAGTTTCCAAACTTAAGTGGCGATTTTCTTGCTAATTTTACCACTGATTCAGACAACCCCCACCTCCATTAATCACAAATTTCTCAACTTCTAGTCAAGATAGGTGGGAATTTTATTTATTAAAAGCACAACAAACAAACAAGCTTTTAGATTATACCAAAAAGCGTATGCCCAAGTGCCTGATTCCACCGTGTCATGCCACAAATTATTATCTTTTTTTCCCATAGGAAGGAGCTTTAATTAAGGAGGGGAAATTGTATATTCCTTCAACACTTCGTGACTGTATGACCGAAAAAATTTTGAGTAAATGAAAACTAGGGTAGACCTGCTTTCACAGAGCACTTTGCATTCTTTGTAGAAGGGTTCTAACTATAGGAGATTTTATATTTTTGTGCGTGTAAATGATTTCTTTTCAACCGCAGTCCATAACCAAATAGGAAGCCATGTAGCGTCAACTTTATCATTATGCTTTTACCTTTGGTATCACCCCAATAATATCTGTTTCATTTTGAGATGCCACCTGTCCTTTTTTCACTCTGACAGCTGGGGTAAAACCACAACAGCTCTTTTAGTTGTCCTTATGTCCTTTTTTACTTAATTCTCCTGTGTCTCTTTTAAACTTGTATGACCAAGACTTCCAGGGATATCTCATACTTACTGCAGTTTACAAATATTCTAGTGTGTGCTGCTCCCTTAACTCTGTTACTAAGTTATGTATGTCCTTATCTGTTCCTAGTAAAATGTAGTGATATGTGTTTTAATGGTGTCACACTCAAAAGACATGAGTTTGAATCCTGCTTGGGGAAGATATTTTGTCAAATAGTTTTTGTCTTCCTGCTGGACTGTAGTATCTCTCTCATCCAAGGTTGGCCCACCTCTTAGAGTATCTAAATTGCATCAATAGAAGCATTAACCATTCCCAATCTGTCAGTCCAGTAAAATGTTGCCACCTTTTTGAAGTTTTTGGCTCGCTGTAACATGCTTTTTGACTCGTGAAAGTTATAGTGAATCATTTCAGCCTTGTAAAGAAGTTAAAACTATTTCAAACTTGACTATTTATTATTAGGTATAGCAGGTGGTGTATGACTAGTATGAGTTCCAACAGAATTGTCAGGGTGAATGCATTCATTCTTGTCCTGAGAGGGGGCAACTAAAGATTTTGGCCCACTGCTTGAAACATTCTGTAGGGGAAAATGTTCTTAATCTTAATGAAAATTCTCACAGATTTACTGAGTGGACTTTTTCTCAAAGCATGATTTTGATAAGAATTTTTTCCAGGTGGTGTTTTCTGTGTTTACATTTTTGATTAATATTGAGAATCAGATGGTCGAATGTCTTTGCTGTTCATAAAATTAAGAGTTGTTTTTTGTGCAGGAATATGCGGCTCTGTTTCATTCATCAGAATTGGAATATTTCTTGTGAGAGGGGGAAAAAAAATCAGGTGATATTTATTTCTCGTCAGAGGAGGGAAAAATGTGTAGTGACTTTTATTTCTGGTAAGAGAGGGGAAAAAACATAATGATCTTTAGTGCAATGTATTTTAGCGTATTCTTAAGCCTACAGCAGTTCTTCAAATGTGCATTTTTGTTAAGGGTATATTATCATATAGCCACTCTTACCATACTGGTTTATGTGCATGGAGTTTCATCTGAGGATTATCCCATGAGGACAAAATAGAAAAGGGTATTTTTGGCTGTTTTAAAGTGTTTTTCGTTTTAACTGCATCTTTGAAATACTTTGACCATTGTGCCTTTTGTGATATTAGATCAGAAAAAGGTTAATGATTAACATCAGTAAGTGCAATGCCTTCTTATGTTTGATAAAGTTACATCTGAATGTTAGTGTGAGTCGTGAGTAGTGTTGTATCAAGAATAATCTTCAACTTGGCGAAATTGTAATCGAGCTGGATGTCGCACAACTTGTTTGAAGCGTGCCTGCTGAGAACAGAAGGAAATAAAAATAATAAGATGTGTGGACTGTGATATTTTCAAGGTGGATGAGGCAATGTGCGATTCAAAGGGATGATTTTCTTAGAAGTTTAGTTAAGGAGGAAGCTGTACAGATGATTTTCGTCACATTTCGACTAAGTCTTAAGTAAGTTTCTTTTTTTAAGCTGTGCTTGTCATTTGGACTGAGTCTGTCTTCACAACAGAATAAGTGGTTCACTGAAGTTTAAGTATGCTAATTACACAGAGCTTTAATAGAACAAGGACAGGTGTGGTCTGTGTTCCTTTTAGCGCTTTGGTGAAAGGGCTTTTTATTTTATGCAATGCTACTGATGTATAACATCTGTGCCACCATGTCCCTGACTTAATCATGAAAGCTTGTTGAAACTGTAGAAGTAAAATGTATTTGAATACTATGTATTATTACATTAGGTTAAGTGCGTCATTGTAGAATATTCTACTTGTTATGATTTGGGCTGTTTTGAATAAGCTGACACAGCTGACCGAGAATACCATCCATGCCTCTGTTTACACATTATTAAAGCTTTTTGCTTGCCAAGAGTCTAAACATTCCTGCAATACCAAAAAAAGATGTATTGCTAGTCGAGCTTTTTGCTTTTGGTCAACAAATACTGCCATTCTGGTTTCTCTTTTTAAAATCTCTTTCTATACATTTTTGTGTGCAGTGGTTTGATGCGATTAGATAAGAGCTATTAATATACAGCTGTTTAGTAAAACAATGTTTTTAATTGTTTGAAACAATTAATAATTGTGATAGACATGGCTTGACATTTTATACAAATTTAAGTAATAAGCAGTACAAATGTATACTGGTTTGTCATTAAAGCGAAGTAAACTTGGAAAATTGAAAGAACTGAAATGTCTGAACTTTAGATTATTGATTCACTCCTGTGATTTGAACGTGGAAGCCACAACTTTATTAAATAGAATAAACTGCTTTGTACAAAGATTTAGATTAGTTTTACTGTTTGATGAAGAAGTTTATTTTTAAATGTTTACTTGCATTGTGTTGGGTTTTCTCTCGCATTTTGTTCGTTTGATTTGTTTATTATTTGTTTCTATTCTGAGAAGAATTGTTTGACTTTACTGTAGAAAGAGAATACAAAAAATGCTTTGTCTATGAAGGTGGTGTTGCGTCATGGATAGTACCTGGTCTGTCACTTACTGATGGGATTGTTATTTAAATTTGGGAATGGAGGAACAGATTACAGAGTAACAGAAATAAAAAGAAAATCATTATAAAAAAGGATACAAATTTTGAGCAGAATGCTAATGCTGTCTACAAGTATGTAATATTATTCCTTATCTCTGTGATAGATTTTTTACCTTTCCACATAATTATGAGTTTGAATCAAATTAATTTAAATTCACTTTCTATGCCTGTCATATAAAGTTGGGGGATTGTCAAAAAATGATATTTCTTTCTTGTGTGGTTTGTTGTTATTATTATTTTTATTGTTAATATTAAAGTTTGAAATGGACATGACTCGTCAGAAATTAACTAAAGTCTTGGTTAAATTTTCTTTCTAACTTTCTGCTCAGTATTCGCAGGTAGTGTTGGAATATGTCTTATACTTCTTTGCAGTTCTTCCAGAGAGTTATTGTTTCCTACTTATGTTGAGTCTACTTCACATCTTTGAACTTGTACTGTGGATTTGGAGCATCATCTTTTCATATTTCATATGATTTTGTCATAAGAATGTTGATAAGTCTAGTCTTAATATTAAATACTGTTGTTATAAATTTCTGTACCTGTGTATTGCATAATGATCTGCCTAATGCCAAGTCTCTTTAAGTTTATATAATAGCTGTAAGCTGAAAACCACATACAATTGAGCAAACTTAACTCTAATATTGGTACCCCAGAATTATGGTTTTCTTTTTTCTTCCGAATTCCTTTTTTTTTACTTTTGAAATATTTTTTCCCATGAAATTGATGTTAAGATGTGCATAGCATGATAAGCTTTGATTTTTTTGAAAGAGGACTTTGAGGGAAGGAAATGAGGACAGGAGATGACAACTTTTTACTTGCTTTTTTTAAATGTTACCAATTGTCGAGCATGGATAAACGTAAAGGCTACTTTCAGACTTAAAGCAAGAGTTAAAAGTGATGAGATGCAGGATACTAAATTACTTGCAAGAAGGGTAGGCAGGTATAGTATAGGTACACTAAGATCATGTGTCTTATTATAGCTTGACCTTGACAATCAGTGTAAAGGAAAAGAAACTGCAATACGGTGAAATAGGTGACAAAACATGTCTAGAAAACTGGAAAGGAGGTGAAGGAAGAAAATTTTAGAGGAGAAATTTCTGTCCCTTTCAGGTTTTGAACCGGAAACCTTTTGAATAAGAGGCTAACACCATACCTCTAGACAACGAGAGCCCGAGATTATCAGTGAGATTTTACTTTTTATCTAACTGTAAACTGCCATGCGTCGTACTTGTTCTGCAACTTTGGTACAGACAGTGCTTTTTCTTTATGATGTTATCATTAGACTCTTTACAGTTGCACGCTGAAGACATGAGCAGGGCTGTCCATTACACATTTTGCAAAATCATTGAAATTCCTTTTTAATTTTATTTTTTATGAAAATACTATGAGAATACCCTTGATTCTGATTTTTAAGAAATTATTTTCTGTTTGACTACCCCAACCCATCCCCACCCTCCCAGAGTATAAAGAAGAAAAATAATCATTCACTGCAGTCTATGTCACTACGTGATGTTCTTCTGTCTAACTTTAACACCCTCTGTTCACAGAGCCCTTGTGGTCACTCATTACATATGCACTACTCTGCCCTTTAAAACATCCAGTGCACCAAAGCCAGGAGTAAAACAAAGATTAATTTTACAGGGAGGGTGTTAAAAAATTCCTTCACTTTGCATTGTGGTTGACAGCCTAGGTCAGTAAGAATTTTTTTTAATAGATATTGTTTTCAACAATCAGCCATGGCTTCCAGCATGGTGTGTAGTGATTGTAGTGATGAACAGTCAGGATCAAAGGCTCTTGATGCTGCCTTTCCTTTTCATAAGTTTTTGCAATAGTCAAGCAGACTGCCAATAACCCTTCCACCCCCACCCCCCCCCCCCCCCCCACCCCCCCAACTCAACTGTGACAAGCTCGCTATGAATCCTTTCATCTTTCCAAAGTTTATGTCACATTACTTACTTACACTTGGTTGGAGAATACATCATTGCAGATGGCACAATGCCATAACTGCTCCTCCCTCCTCTCCAGTATCTATGAAAGGGTCTGCTTGCTGATCGTGCTAGTTATCAGCTGGTTGGATATTCTTCTGGCTTTTCCACGCAGGTTGCTGTCTTTCCTATGTAACATTAAAACCTAAAACCCCTGTCTTTGACACACCAGAGAAAAGGACTAGACATGGCCATATTACAAATTTTTTAGCCAGATTACTTATTTTCTATTTATTGCTTATAAAGACATAGCTCGTGGGTTGCAGCCCTGTAAGAGTTCAATTCTTGTGTTTGGAAGTTATTTTATTGAGTATTTCAATCGATCCGCTGGGATATCGTGTCCCATTCGGTTCAGGTTCGCTCTGACAGGCAGAGTCAAAGCAGCCTGCCTCGTAGATGATCCAAAATATTTCCAATCTGTCACTTTTCTCCTCGAGATTTGAATTTACTATATTCTTCTGTATCTGTTTAGTGTGGTGTACTACTCTACAGCTATGTGGTTTTCAACTCTCAGTTGTGGTATGCTGTGTTCAGTTTCTCATTACTATTGAAGTGACATTGTAACTTTGTATTGCTCTATGGACATGTTTGTATTGTGTCAAGAGAGCATCTTTCTCATATACCATGACCATCAGTTTAAAGAGTTTTGTAGAAAGAAATTATCCAGATTTTATATCTATTTTATGGTGCGAAGTTGGTTGAAATATCGTTTTGTAAGTTGTGATGTATTTCTGTTATCCCCCCCCCCCCCCTCTCCAAGTCCTGTGTTGTGGAGGGAAACAAGGAAGTAATGTCAAGAGTTTTTGCTGGTGGTTGGCAGGTGCTCTGGTGTGGTTTGCTTCTTCTTTCCTATCAAATGTCTATTGTCTTTATCTCCCCTCCTTTTTTGTGTTTGTTACTCTCTTGTGGTGCCTCTAATCTTCGGCGCTTATATGACCTTATTGTGTTGCAAGTGCCGTAAAACACTTACTAAAACTAAAAACTAAGCCTGAGATTCCAATGTCAAACATTACAAAAGTAGGTGTGGTTTTGAAGCAGGAAGTAGCGAGCTGTTAAACGCGGTTCGCGGTCCTGCATTGGGAGTAACACTAGCCGTGAAACACAGCTCACGGTAGTGATAGAGTTAAGTAAAGCCAGTATGGCTAGATATGATTTATTATTACTATTCATAAGATTAATAGTGGACACAGGGTACGCTAGCCAGAAGCAAAGGAAGAACGTTCCGCAAAATCAGCCTTTGGTAATGGTGTTGAAATGTGTTTGAGCAAAAGTTCAACATCCCCATTCTCATGTTATAGCAAACCAGAATTCCAATCATGATGCCCAAAACAGAATAGCTGGATTGAAGGTTCTTCTTTTCCTTATGATGTGGCCAAAAAGGTTTTCTTTCTCTCATTTTGATATATTCAACTTTTGCCAATTGTTCCAAATTTGCATTCATTGGCCTATATTTACATAGATTATGATGTTTTTTTATTAAAGCTACATTCACAGTATTGTGATTTGTGCCATTACGTTTCCCGTATCAATGATCGCAGATCCACATTTTAAACTATGTTTTTCTTCTCACTTTGACTTTCCTGTTTCAAAACAGTATCTTCTTCAACCAATGTTTGTAGCATTCCATATTTATTCACCACTTTTCTGTATGCATTGTGATCAGATGATGAAAGATTACAGTCAAACCTTGTTGTACCACCCCTTGTTATACCGCCAGCCCCTCTTACCACCAAATTTTGCCAATGTACGAAAAGGAACGCCTATACAAGCATAGTAATTGTGCCTTTAGACTGCCATCTGCCATCCGCCAACTGTCTGGTCCTTGTTAAGCTAATGTAAATTTGCCCCGCCGCATCGCCACCTACACACTACACAAGGCGCACAGCACTCACACAGTGGCTGCTTGATAATCTCTTTTTCCCCGCACAAGTCTACTTGTGCTTGTCGGTCTTCTCCTGTTTTGCATTGATTTTGAAAATATTATCATTTTATGGCTTTGGCCAACTTTAATTTTTTTTTCTTTAAAAGTAGAATTAAATTTTAAAGTTGCCTGGAGAAACTCCAAAGGAACTGCAGTACCTTGGCCACTGCCGGCAAATAATTCGGCAGCCCAATTACCTAAAGGCTGGTGGGAGCCCGTTAGTCTTTTATTTTGTGAGGACTCACTCAAATCTATAGGGTAGGTCTAAGACGACGTGAGAACTGATGAATACATGGTGTTGCGTTTTTTAAACAGTCAATTTACAGGGTCCTTGACACATACAGCCTAACCTCTGATCCTAGCTTCTTTCGATTTTGAAGTTACTTGATCCTTTGAGCCCTAGCCACAGGTTCACCAGTGAAGCGTAAACTTGCCCGTATGGCTAGCCACCGGTACAGCGGTGAGCGAGACCTTATTGATTATTTCAAAGATCTTTCTGAATTAGATGCTGCTAATGACGAAGACTCCCCTCAGTGGGATATGGAAAGTGGTTCTGATGATCATATGAATGTTAGTAAAATATCGCTCAAGAGCTCAGGCAGAGGGGCATGGTAGCCTCAGGAGGTCAGGGTTTAAAGGGTTAAAGCTCAGCTGGAGAAGTGCATGTAATTATTTTATTTTGCTACTTACGTTTTAACTGCACATGACAATTGCGCAAGATAGATCAAGATGAGGCAAGACTGGCCATAGCTTGTTTTAGTCTCTACCAGTCTACCACTAGTGAAGATGACAATTGTTGGTATCCCGTTATATCTGCCAGCCCCGCTGTACGGCAACTTTATGCTCGTCCCAAGGTAGGCGGTATTATGAGGTTTGACTGTAGCCAGTGTGTTTATACGTTCTTTGTGTATGAGATAACCATTTGAAAGCATAATAATGTAAAACAAATTATGTATTTCTATCAATGATTTTGTAAAATGAAATGGCATGAATTTTTTTCCTAGCATAATGTATATGAATGATGTATACCAAGGACTATCGTACCTTTGATGTTTGTTGTTTTGTTTTATTATTTGCAAGTATTTAATTTGTTTGGAAAGTTGAAGGGTGACATATAATTATACTGTGATCCTTTCACTAGGTGTGTAAGAGCATGGTTACTGGGATGAACTGGCCAGGCTCTATCCTGTTTCACACCGAAGATGTCCGCTCAATTCCCTTCATGGGAAAAGTATTTTAATATCCAGGACTATCTGTTGGAATGCTGTAACCCACACGGCTCTGA